GCTCTCCCGGGGGACTCCGCGGCCGCGCAGAGAAACGCTTCTGCCTTCGGGAGAAAAGTAGAAGCGCCCATGTTGGAGGGTGCTGGGTGCAGTGAGGGAAGCCGAGGAGGTCTTAGGTGCCGGGGCTCCAGCCACAGCCTCGGAGCAGGGGCAGGGACCGGGAACGGCGCTTTGGGACTGCCGGGGGCGGAGGAGGCGCCTGCGGAGCGCTCTCGGGCAAGAAAAGGCAGAGCCTGCGCAGGAGCCTCTGCCGCGGCCGCCCCGTCGGGCAGGGCCGGCACCTCGGCCAGGCGCAGCCCGTTCATCCCTCGCCGGTCCCGGGCGAGCCCTTTCCCTGGCAGAGAAAGGTCCCTGGTTTGAGTCGGGCCGCGCCGCCGGGCCACCGCTTCCGCGCCCGCGGAGGCGCGGTGGAGGAATGCGGGGACAATGCGCCATCTGTCACCGCCGGGTCGCGCCGCGGCCGGGAGCGCCGCCGAGGGCGCTGATTTATGCTGAATGCGCCTTAGAAGATCTCGATGTAGACTTTGTCTTTCTCTGTCAGAGCCAAGTAAAAAGAAACAGCTGGCCTGAATTTTTAGCACCCATAATTAATTAAGAGCTTCATTCCTGGGATTTGATGATTCAATAAAGCAAGACCCTTATTCCCCTATGTGATTCCAGTGAATATCTACTCCACTCCAATCCTTTTGGGTCCCAAGATAGGGCAGATTAACACTCTTTTTCTGTGGGAGAGAAGGGGAAAAAATGCCTCAAGATTGCATCTGAGGCGCACACAAAAGGTAAATTCAAAACTGCCACTTGTTCTCTGCAAAGGCTCCTTATTCTCCGCCATTGATGTATTTGTGCCAGGTTTTAAAGAAACCAGAGGGGGGATGAGGAATTAACATATTGCTCATTTGGAAAAACAGCCGGTTCTGGTTTTGGTAACACTTGTTCCCTTGCCAGCCACAGATGTCCTTACTAATAATCGTGGCAGGTCACAGAAAGAGGGGAGCGGGAGGGGGATGGCGGGGCGGGCGGGCTCCCCGGCAATCCCGTGCGGCTCCAAGCCTGCCCCGAGCCAGGCTGCTGCTGCTGGGGCGGGCGGAACACTGCGGAGCCGGGTTGAGGAACCCGCGGCTGCGCACCGGCGCTGGGCGCCGGCCGGACCGGGCCGTGGGGACGAATTTTCCTTTGTTTTCTTTTGTTTTTTTGGTGTTTTTTTTTTTTTTTTTTTTTGGGTTTTTTTTTTTTTTTTTTTTTGGGTTTTTTTTTTTTTTTTTTTTTCCATTTTGGGTTGAAGTTCCTGTACTTTTCTCTACTGCAAACCCCTGTGATATTTTTTATTCGTCTCCTTTAAACTTGCTGATCGTGTGATTTCCCATGTTTTCTTGGCGGAGGGGCTTTCATGTAGTTCCTGGGCACGGCAAGGGAAGATGCTGTTCAGAACCTCTCTCCAGGGCGGGGGAGGTGTGTGGGGGGAGGTCCAATAAGCCAATTAGACGCGACCGCGCCGTCCCGGCCGCCGCGGAGGCTCCGCGCCGAGCGGGAGCCCCGTAGGTTAATCGTGACAATTGGAAAGGCAACACTCGCGGGGAGAGCAGCGGGGGGGATGTAAACACGGTCCGGGGTGTTGAGGGTCTAAATTAGGATTTGTTTTGTTTTTAAGCGTGAAGGAGGAAGCAGCAGGGCTGCGTCAGGCTCCCCGCCTCTCTCGCCCTCCGTTCCCGCGATTGAGAATCGGGGCTGGAGGTACAGGGGGTTCCCTGCCGGAGCCCGGGGGCTGTGCTGGACCGCAGCCCCAGCTCTGTCTCTTTGCTTCCAGGACTGAGAGAATTTTGCCGTGGATGGGATGAATGGGACCAATGGCTGCAGCCCTGGGCTCGCAGCCCACCTGGGGTCGGTCCCGTCATCCCGGGCGCGCTCAGGTGTCGGTAGGCCCATCGAAACGGGCACGGATGAGCTCGGGACACTTGCCCGGGTTTCTCCGGGGAAGCTTCATCCTTCCTCGAGGTCAGGACGCTTGGCGGGGACGGGCGAGGAGGGGAACATCGCCCCGGCTTCCCGAGGCGAGCTGCTCTCCCTGCCCGGCGCGCTGCCGCTTTCGGCCGGGAGCCCCCGCCTGTCTCCTCTAGGGTCCCGGATCCTCGGTCCGCGGACGTGACCTGGAGACTCAGCTGTTCCTGCGGCCCCACGCGTGGGCCCTGCCGGGCCAGCCACACCAACACGCTTATCGGCCGCGCTGGAGGGTTTTGGGGGGATGTTGGACTGTCACCTGCGGGAGAGGGCGGCTGCACTCCGCTGCCACCTGCGCCGCTCGACCCGCGCCGTCCGGGCGGGCGGCGTAGGGGTCGCGGCGCCACCGCCCCATCAAGGGTCGTGCCGTGGGGCCGGGGACGGAAAGGGGAGGGAGTGGGCACGGAAAGGGGCGAGCGGTTTCTTCCGAGAGCGGAGGCTGGACCGTTCCCACCTGCACCCCTGGGCAAGCACCTGCTGCCAGGCGAGCTGCTGAAAACCCAGGCTGGAGGAGCCCACCGCCAGCCCCGCTGGGAACCCTCACCTGCCCAAAAAGCGCTTCGGAGCGGCGGCGAAGCCCTCGCTTCCCAAACCTCCGCGGGGCAGCCCGCGGCCCGGGAGGGCTCCGCTCCCAGCGGGAGAGTCGCTCCCGGCTGCTCCGAGGGCTGCTCCCGAGTAACCTACGGCAGCTCTAACTGGCAGCAGCAGGCGTTATTTTTATTTTATTATATCTTCATTCTTCTTTTTTTTTTTAAACAACAAATTAACATGCCAGAGGCAAAAAAACGCTGCCCCCTCCCCCCCCCCATTCTGCTACGGGAAAGAAACTGGTAAATTCGTGCTTATGTTAAAGAATGGGTATACAGTATATCTCCTGTGGCAGGGGAAAAGAGTGATGAATAAAATTGTTGTATGAAATCGTTTGGGCTACAATAATAGTTATGGTTTAAAATAGGCGGCAGGCTGCAACCTAAAGGAAACGGTTAATTCCCTTAGGAATTTATACATCAAACGAAAACCGTATTGAGATGGCTAATAGACCTATTCAGAATAGCTCGGAGTATAAGGAGTAGGGCTTTTGAACGAGGGAAGCTCCTAAGCTGCTTTGCAAAATAGCTTTTTCAGAGATCGCAAGATCGGCTGTGGAGAGGTAGCACGACAATTAAAAAAAAAATCCATAGCTAGATGAATAATTGAAACCTATTTATTTTGAGGTTAGTCGTTCCTCTGCGGAACCTGTTGTCTGGGGAGCGCGGTCCTGAGGGGCTTTGTCGCTCCCTCTAGCTCAGGGCGCTGGGGAGTTTCCCGAGTTCCGCCGGAGGCGATCTCCGCCGGGGGACGGGGCCGGCAAAGCCCGGGCGAGAGGCGGCCCGCGGCACTTTGCCTCCAGCCCCGCACATCGGGGCTGATTCTACCCGGGCCAGCGCTACGCTGCCCCTCGCCGCCAGAACTTTATCCCGTTTTAAACAAGGCAGGTGAGTCCAGTAAAGCTCACTGCTGCGCAAAAAATACGTCTTCCTGCAGATATCACTGACTGGAAATGAAATATCCAACGGAGGATTTTTTTTTAAATTATTTATCATTAATAAAACGGCAAAATAACATACTATTATCCCAGGAGCATTTGATTCTTTGCACGTTCAGTTGAAACAATTTTGATTTTAAATCAGATTATCTACAAAAAAAATCGTATAACCAAGCAAGCATAGACTGCATCTTTAAAACTCAAAATACAAACTACTATTTAAATTCCCGTAAAATGTAAATATGCATGAATAAACCTGTTACAGCTAATAAATGGCTCTGACAAAGTTGAAGAGATTACAAAATAATTATCTGTCTCGTAAAGAAAAAAAAATAATCCAAGCAAACGGAGGGGTGTCTCGGCACCAGCCCCAGAGGTCCCAGTCATACTCCCATCACCTCAGCAGTGTCGATGTCAGCGTACCGCTGACACCCCCAAAATGCACCCTGAACAAGGAGGGACCCGTTCCCGAAGCCGGGTGCTGGAGCAGTCATCGCCGTTATTTCTTTGCAGGGTACCTGGGCTGCTCGGGCAACCCCACAAGCGGGAGCTGACTTTTGGTCGGAGGTTCCGCGCTGGGGAGCCCCTAACCCGCCCGAGGACCCGCTTCCCTGCCTTGGGCTGCGGAGCGGCAGAACGGCGCGGAGGGGGCTCAGGGCGCTCTCTGTCCCCGCACCCAAGGGATTTCTGGTGGCCGGGATGGCCCTGGCGGCGCGGCCCCCGTCCCACCATCAGCCGCGGCTCTGCGGCCTCTGCGCGGAGCGGAGCGCGGCCCCGCGGGACTCCGCACGGCCGAGCGGGCGGCGGGAGCCAAACCCGGGCCGAGTGTGACACCTACCTGCCAGCGCCGGCAGCACCGCGCCCGCGGCCGGCCCTGCGCGGGGCTGCG